TCACATTACTAAATTTTGATCCCTGAATCTTTGGTAATACCAATGTTCACTTTGTCTGGTTTTGTTGCAGCATGCCCCAATTGCGACAAAATCGGGGCAACATTATTTTTGAGGCCTCGGATAATTCTAATTGAAGTGGTATAGTAACTTTACCTATTTTCTTTGCCCATTTAAAATTCTCCACCAGCTTTTTCATATGACACACCCACTTAAAGCATATGACTTTATTATTTAAATTAGTCCTTGAATAAGTAGAAAAGTTTATTCGCCTGCTGTATATGCTATCAAATAATTTCTGAGAGTTAATTACTTTTCATTCATCATAAAAATTGACCTCGCCTGTTTCTTTAATTAATTCTTTTATGAACAAAAGATGAACAGAAAAATTAAAGAGTTGATTCAGGATAAAATTGATGGATGAATGGGGATTGTGTATTTAATTAAAAACGAAATAATAAAAAAAGCAAGACTTTGTCAAACTCATAAATAATATATCAAATGTTTTCTCAAACGAATAATTTTTTGTATGCAATTGTTCGTTACCTTTTTCATTAAATTCAGTAAGTTCATTTTGTAAATTTATCATTCGCTTTCTCCAGTCTTCTTTCTTTCCAACTTTTCCTTTCTTTTTCAATTCGTCTTCTGTTCATCACTCCATTTCTCATCCATTAACACATCCTCCAAGTCATCCAACTGCCTCTCTTAAATTTCTTCAACTCTTTCTCTGCCTTTCTATGTTCACATTTTGCCTTATTTTTATCCATTCTAATTCCATCGATTGTTGTCATTTTCTAACATGTAAAAATTTAAAAATTAAAAAAAATTTGTAATTTAACTTTCACCATTACTGCTATTATCATTAAGATTTGTATCTTCTCTGCTTTCATTATCTTCATCAACTTCACTCTCTATCTCTTTCTTCTTTTCCTTTTTGACCCACTCCTGAATTGCATCTACTGTTATTTTCCTAGGGTTTTTTTTCATTGGTAAAAGTTTTTATTGTAGAAGCAAGCAACTCCTTTCTCTCCAAGCAATTCATGAATTTCGATGGCCATTTTACAGAATGAAAAATTTGGATTCAGTTCAGTCTTTTTATCAAATAATTGTTTGAAACCCTCCCATAGATTTTTGATTTCTTGTGAATATTTTTTATCATCAGTAAGTTTGTCTATTTTATTTTTGAATTGACTTTTTCTTGGTTCTATTTTATCGATTATTTGATCAATTTTTTGATTTATAATAGAGAGTTGATTTTTGTAAGTTTTATAGTGAATAAGGATCAGATCAGATCAGATTTGAATGAAATCTGATCTGATCTGAAATATAATCCGATCTGATCTGATCTGACCTGATCTGAAATCCGATCTGATCTGACCTGACCTGATCTGAAATCTGATCTGAAATCCGATCTGATCTGTTTGATCTGTTTGATCTGTATATATACAAA